GGAACAACGGTAGCCTTGTTTAAACGCGATACCGGAGGTTCCATCGGAGGAGGAGTCGCCCACTTAGTCAAAAACGACTCCTTAAAAAAGGATAGCGGACAGAGAAGCGCCTAGGAACCGAAAAAGGCCTTCGACGGTCAATTCCACTCCTTGTAGAGGAAATCATCAAAAGAAAGGAATATAAAGGGAAGACCCTAGTGGAAGGTTTACTTTTATGCGTCCCAAACTGAACTAGAGGAAGCGCAGAACTCTTCAATTTTGAGCGTCTCCCTGACAGAACAAATCAGGGCAGAGACCATGCGCTCCTTAACCATAAGGGAAGCGCTCAACTCATCCCCACTAACAGAATCTGGTGGGAAGAATCCCCCAGGTCAGGGTGGGTTGAGGCCGCAGGAATGCCACCCTCCTCCCCCTGAAAAAATAGGGGAAGGTGACGGCAGAGCGTGCTTCTTAAGGGGCCTCTGCTTCAAGGCACGTTCAATGCGTGTTACAAAACTGTCCATGGTAGTGAAAAAACACAAGGTGGTGCTGGTGGTACTGACTATCCCCAGTGCAACACCGGAGGAGGGCAAAGGAAACTGGGACATAGGTGCTGGGCTACAGGTCACACAGAGAGGGAAATAGGAATTCTCTAAAGAGCGCCCACATCCCTCACATAGCCCCGTGGACGACTGTGCACTGCGTACATGGTGCCTACCACTAGCGCACATACCAATTACCCCAGAGAGCAAAACAGCAGGCAGAGGGGGACCTCAGAGTACTCCCGACCCCGTGGGTTAGCGGAAAGCCAGAGCAGTCCGTTTCCCAGTCACCAGATCTGTCCCCTGGGAAAGGTAGCAGCAGCAGCAGGGGCCTGTCTGACTCCCTGCCATCCTCCGACAAAAAGGAACCCACATCCAGCCGCGCCAAGTAAACCGGAAGTGACGTCACGGGAAGTGAAGTCACAGAAAGGGCACAGAAGCCCTCATCCGGGATGGCGGCCGTGTCCTCCACAAGGCCGCAAATGAAGCCGGGGACTAAACACATGAACACATGATGCCGGAAAGCAGCAGCCCCACGGCCGTGCCGCTCCCTCACATCAGCGACACAGACCACACCCCACCGGCCCCCCAAGAGCGCTGCCAGACCCAAGTAAGCCCTTGCAGCAGCAAGGCATCCAGGAGAAAACATCCTCACTACCTGGGAAGGAGGGGGGAAAGGGGAGAAGCGCCTGAAGCCCATGCAGAGGATCCCAGACAGGATAGGGGGCTGCGGCAGCAGATCCCCCCACCATACCAGCAGACTTGCCGACACAGAATCCCTGCAGACAAGGCCCTCACAGCCCCAGCCCGACGCCACATACCATGGGGTCAAAGCGAAGTCCCTGCCACCAACCCTTGTCCGGGTACCATCCTAGAGGGGCACCCTGCGGAACCAAATCCAGGCAGCCAAAACACAGGGAATGCAGGGACGGCGAAAAAAACCCCTCTCCAACCACAGTCGCTGCGCTGCCAGCCTGTATGGAATGCTGTGACTGGCGGGCCGAGACCCCCAGTCATATGCACATACAGCCTGTCGCCCTGACGACACTTGCTAGATGGTCCAGTAAAAAAAAGGAAAAATCAGCGAAGACTTCAAGGGATAAAAAATTCAGAGCTACTTAATCCTGTTGCTAGGCAAAAAAATGGAGACTTGTCAGCAGGTGGGGGAATTGGCCACCAGCAGGGGCCGCCCCTAGGCTGGTTTAGTCTTTTGTTTTGTGCCTAGCATCCTTCTCCTGCAGGGTCTTCATGGTCCCTGTGGGTGTTGTAAAGTAGCCACTGCTCCTAGCTCGCTCCCCCGATAGACAACAATCTTACGTTTTAGTTTATTAATTTTGTATTAAAGTTTTAGTCTATCTTGGGGGCAAGCTTGGTGTGGTGGCTCCTTTACAACACACACAAGAACCATGTGGAACAAAAGTAGCCACCCTCCAAAAGGAAGGACACTGTCAGCACCAATTCAGAGATGATTTGAAGATCTACAGCCAAGTGATGCACCAACAAGCTATATTTTTTTTTTAAAGTTAGGGTACTTGAATACATTTTTAAGACTCAACTCTTGAGTTACAGTGTCAATTTAACTAGACGAACAACTTCTGATTCCATGATAAAACACAGTGTAAATGTAAAATGGAGAACAAAGCAAATGTGCATTTGTCAGCTGGTATGTTTACTCCTCAGTGAGGCTTTGAAATTAAAGCATAGAACCAATAAATCATTGGAGACAAAAATGAAATCCTCAAATCATTTTATGAAACAAAATTGTATCTAAATTTTTGGATCATCAAAGTAACTATCTTTTGCAAATATAACAGCCCAACATACTCTATGGGTTCTTTTCACAAATATTGTTTGGAAAGGTCTTTTAATAGCTGTTGCAGAAGTTCTTACAAATGTTTAGCATTTGTAGGTGGCTTTGCTTTCACCCTTTTGTCCAGTTAATTTCAAACCAGTTCGATGGCCAGCACAGTTAGGAATGGCTTGCCATTCCATGATATGAAGTGTACTATGTTGTTAATTACTTCTAAGGTAGTTCTGACAAGCCTAGGGGTATGCTTTGAGTTATCTTGTTGTAGGATGAACTACTGACCAACAAGACGTAGACTAGGGGGTACTGTGTGGTGCAGCAAAATGTTATGGTAGGCCTTTTTGTTTAAAGGTGCCAGTGAGCCTTTGCTAGTCACTGACTCTGAATGCAACAAAAGAGCCCTAGATCATCACCCTTTCTCCTCCATGTTTCACAATTAATGTTACAAACTGCAGAACTATCATTTGACCCAGTAGATGGGTCTACAGAATTTTGAGAGCTTCTGAATGCAATATATTACTTCCTGCAGTGCAATATTAATCAAATAATGCTTCAGAGGTGTAGTAACAGTGTGCTCCAAAGGTTTGGAGCAAGGTTCTACACATATGCAGTATATTGCAGCTTACTATTCCTTAGGTGCGGGTTTTCTTCTTCATGCTTTTTCTCTTTATTTTTACCTGGAGATCTTGTAAGCACCACACTTCCTGTCCTAGGGTGATAACACCACTGTCTTGTATCTATGGAGGAGTCTTGTCACCTTAGGTGGCTTTCCTGATTTGGACTACAGACACTTCCCCCTCTTCCCATTTCCATAACATAGACTAGTTGTTCTGTAGTTCACAGAAGATGGCTATAAAGGCTGATCACTTTTAAGATTTAATTTCAGTGCACAGGAAGTTTCAAAGGACACTGGGTGTCTGACAGGATCCACAGCTAATTTTGTACTTAGCAGAAGATGTGCCTGAAAAAAGAAAACTAATGTAGCTATCACATCTATTTTATTTTTATGTTATTGGATTGGGATATATTTTAATTCATTTATTGTTGTGATAGTTGTAAATTGTTAATCCATTACTTTTTTTTTTTTTAAAAGCTTTCTTGTATAATTTTTAAGTTTTATTGTTTAGTTTTTGGTAAACAAAACATTTTTACCCTCTAGCAGTTTATTGCTTATTTTTGTACCAATAATTAACTGGACTTGAACTGCTAAATTTCAATAAAAGTGGAAAAAGTGTGATGTTCCAAAACATTTTAATGGTAGCTGATGTGTGTTAGTGTATAACACTGAAAATATTTTGCTGAGATACTGACTGTCCCAATTTTATCCCACAGACTGATTTTTCAGTCTATTCCTTTACTGTACTGAGAACAGATAACTTATATATCATCAAGCTGCCACTGTTATCTATAGGTGTAACTGGCTATGTATCTGCCCAGTAATGCTGCTGATGAGTGACTGCAAAACCAGTGACAGCACAGATGTGATATCAGTGCAGCTGTCCATTGAGCCGCTGCTGCAATGCAAACAGGGGACTGTAGTTTCTCTACAGGATGGCTGTGTCACTGACTAGTGCTGTAGTGTTGTTGTGTTAATCCACCCATGGAGGACCATTATCTGAATTGCAGTAGTGTTGTTGAGGCTCACAAGACAGAGACATACAATGTCCATTTCCAGCACTATTCAAATACTGGAGTCTTCTTGTTTCTGTAAATATACGGATATATTTTGTTGGGAGGGAAGGCTGCAAGATGCAAATTCAACAGGCGGACACAGAAACAGAGCACATCATCATACCATGTTCTCATAAGATCTGGATAGACATATAGGGATGTTCACATAACAACTCTGATGGAGAATACATGGCAGGCCAGTTGGCTGCATATCGGTACAGTATACCAGAGAGTCCAGAACAAGCAGACCTGTGACCATTAAACAGTTGCACAGTAGAGTCCAGTAAAGGACCACTTGAGGATCTCAATAGACAGGGGACACTGCCATTATGAGCCGAATCTACTATCACTGCAGTAGAGGGAGATACTCATTGTAGGTTTTTGATATAAGAGGAGCTTTGCAAGTTCAGTTCTATTGTTTCTGTCTTTTTTTTTATTATCATATTTTTTAATTAAAACATTTTTCACAAGGAGGAGTAACCTGTCTTGTTGTTTTCACAGGAAATAGACTGAATGAGGTGGAAGGAACCATGGGTGAATTGGGGTACATGTCTTGGAGACAAAGTAATAACATCTGACCAGGTGGTTACTTTCAGAAAAAAACACAGCAACCAAGTCTGAGCTTTATGCAACATTTTTTATGTCATTCACTTCCGTGAAAACACGCAGGTATAATAATATATGATTGAGTGGACAGAACTGGTTTCCAAAAATTGTCCTGGTTTCTCTATTCTCTGTACAGGAGTGTCAGTATTAAGTACACAGGAGTTACTTTTCAACTGAATGTTTCTGGTGTCATTCAGTCTTGTATGTCTCAATTACAAATCATTATAACATGTTTATATCAAAAGTATTGTGTGCTTTATACGAACTAAAAGGGGAGTGATGTGTGATAATATTTTCATATACCAACTGGCAAAAATACTTTTTGGAACAGGTATAAAATCTAGTTTTATTGTCCCTAGAGGCATAACTCTCATGCTGTGAAAGGAACATCTTACTTTTCCTCATAAGCCAGTACAAGTCGTGGATCTAGAATGTGTTCTTCTGGTTCCCAAGTACTGTATCTAGAAAAAAAGTATAAATATATTATTATTTTTTGTGTTTTTAGAGCAGACCAAAATCATACATTTATCATGTCCCTGCAGTAATAACGTGCCCAAACTGATGTGATATATAGGCAGCGAGCTGTTCTCTTATGTGGGGAATGTCTAGTGAATCTAGTGAGAGGAAAGCCCCTCATTGTATCTAAACAGTGAAGCATGTCATGCCCCCTTCCAGCTTAAAAATGAGCAACACCATGAACATGGCTCTGACTTGAGGTAGTTGTATCCAGGCCCGGATTCCAGGCCAGGGGGCGGCAGCAATGTGGAATCCCCCAAAACATTCAGTTCCGGGCGCCGGGCGGTAAGTTATTTTTTACATTTAGCCCTGCTTTGGGAAAGCAAGGCTAAATGTAAATAAAAAAATTATAAATATTAGTACAAAATAAGAAATAATAGTTAAAAAAATAAAAATGGTGATTAAAAAAGTAAAAATTGAGGGGGCGTGGCTTACGCATGGCCGTGGACGGACGCGTGTAGAGAGCTCCGGCTGTGAACCTGGGGACGATCGCCAGGAACTCTGCATCTTACACCGTACACCCCAGTCATGGGCAGGTCGGGCAAGAAGGGAGGTCGGCAGCCTACCAGGCCCTCTACATCAGCGATCGGACCGAAGATCGGGGCCTTCTTCAAGACCTCGGGCCTACTCGCGACCCAGTCGCCGTCAGACCGCGGTGCGGGAAACGTGGCAGGCTCAGAGGCCTCCTCGCCGGCTCAGCCTACCTATCAGGGGGACTCGGATTCCTCGGCGCCGGAGGAGGACGGAGCTTCCCTCAGAGGTGAGGAGATGTTTCAGCGCTATTTCGCGCTCCTGCCCATGAAGATCGAGCTGGAGGGCCTGTTCTCCCGCCTGGAGGCCTCCCACAGTCGCGACATGTCGGAGCTCAGGGAGGGCATGGCTGGCTTTGGCCAACGGCTGGAAGCTGTTGAGACGCGGGCTGAGGCTGTTTCCCAATCTGTCCTCCAGCTGCAAGATGAGGTGAGCAAACACCATCTACTCCTCCAGCACTTAAGCCTGCAGATGGATGACCAGGAAGACAGACATCGCCGCAATAACATCAAGCTGCGCGGCATCCCTGAGGCCACAGGCCCGTCGGACCTTAAAGCTACGGTGCTGGGCGTCTTCAATATGATATTGGGCAACCCCCCTACCCATGCCATTGAATTAGATCGGGTGCAGAGTGCCAGGATTTCGTAATCCCTCCCAACAACAGCCTAGGGATGTCCTGTGCAGAGTGCACTTTTTTCAGCAAAAGGAGGCCATTCTGCTGAAGGCCCGCGAAAAAGGACCGCTGGACTTTGATGGGGCTCAGATCACGCTCTTCCCGGACTTGTCCCGCAACACGCTGACGAGACGCAGAGCCCTCCGGCCACTGACGCTAATGCTGCAGGAACATGACATTCCCTATCGTTGGGGTTACCCTTTCCATCTGGTGGCCCGGAAGAATGGCAAGTCTCACATACTCCGCACTCCGATTGATCTCCTTGACTTCCTTCGGGCCCTGCAACTTCCCCTGATGACCCTGGAGGGATGGCCGGACCCGGCCCTGCCGGATTGGGCCTCCGTGCCCACAGGATCCACATGGCTCCCCGCCATGTCCCAGAAGAAGCGGAGGCGGAGGTGACCCTCTCTAGTTTTCATGCATCCATGCTGTCATTCGACTACGCTACTGTTTATACCGTATATATGCCTTCTGTGGATGTGGGGAGGTCCTGTGCTTTATGGTCATTACTGTAGCATGTTGTGGCCTTAAGTGGCTGAGCTGCTCAGGGCATGGTCATCCCGGTAAACCATACTCTCATACATTACTTTAACATTTGCTTGATGGCGATCTGCCGGCTGTTATTACTGTCATTTTTTGGGTCTGTTATTTTCAGTGACTTCTGTGTTCCTTTTGGTTTACCATGTATAAACGCTTCAGTGCTAAAAAGCTAATGTTTATAAATGTACATACACCTTAGGTGATTGGGGGATTTTTGCACTTTAACGCCATTACTGTAGCTGAGGGATGCACAGACCACAGGAGGGGTAGCACTCCAGGCCTTTGCCTTTCCAGGACTTCTGCTCCTGCAGTCTGGTAATTGCACCCCTGTGGGGTCTCTGCGTCCTGGAATAACCGACCTCCGTTCATAAAGGGTGGTGGTGAGATTGCCGCTGCCATATGTACATGCTCTTCGATTGTTCCAGTTGCATCTGTGTTTTTATATATTATGTTTTTCATGTTTTCCCGGGTGCAGGGGCTGTTGGGGCCCTGTGTGACCACTTACCCCCACATAGGCCTTCCCCCGACTAGTTAGGGCGTTTTGGGGTAATTTGGACCTTGGTGTCCTTAATTTAGTGAGTGTTCTGTGTTCCCTGTGTGTCTTTAGTTTAGTTACTGGTCTCTAGTTGTTGTCCTCCCTTCCCCCCTCCGCTCCCTATCTTCCCTCTGCTATTCTCCCTTTGGTGGGCTTAGCCCGCTATTCTCCCTCTGTTCTTTCCTTTGACTCCCCTGGCTAGGCCAAGGAGTTCTGAATGAGTGATATTCGGATCTGCTCTCTGAATGCCAGAGGTCTAAACTCTCCACAAAAGAGATCACAATTGCTCTATAATTTACATAAACTGCATAAACAAATTGTTTTTCTACAGGAGACCCACTTTGTGTCGGGCAAGTCTCCTCGGCTGTCCTGCAGACAGTTCCCCAGATGGATAACCAGCTCCGACCCGGGCCGCAAGGTCAAGTCGGGTTTCATTCTTCATTACCGTGTGAGGTGCTCTCTGAACGGGTTGACTCCGAGGGCAGGTATGTCTTTGTGAAATGCTCCATCCAGAACAAACTGATCACCCTAGCGAATGTGTACCTACCGAATCAGGGACAAATCCCCCAGCTGCTTTCCATTTTGGCGCAACTGTCGGATTTCTCGGAGGGCGTTCTCATCCTGGGGGGGGATTTTAATCTGGTGCTCGATCCTAGTCTGGACAATACATCTGGGAAGTCTCAAATCTCCTTCTCCTCCATTAACAGATTGAAAAAGAGACTACATTCTCTCCAGCTAGTTGACATTTGGAGAATTCAACACCCGACCCATAGGGACTATACTTGCTATTCTGGTCCCCACAGATCATACAGCAGGATAGATTTTTTCCTCGTCTCTCACCATCTCCTCTCTTGGGCACCCGACACATCGATAGGTGCACAAATTTGGTCTGACCATTCCCCTGTCTCACTAACCCTTACAATACCGATCACTAGCAGGTCCTCTTACTCCTGGAAATGAATGAAACCCTCCTTCTGGATGTTTGCTGTAAAGCCGACATTCACTCCACAATCACCAATTTTCTTTTGGACCACGCGAATGACCCCACCCCTGCACCTACCCGCTGGGAAGCTCTTAAAGCCACGGTCCGCGGGGTCTTTATAAAGCACGACGCGCGCATTAAAAGGGAGAGGGGTGCCACGTTAGCCCGGTTGATGGCTGAACTGGCCACTTTGGAAACGGCTCATAAGTCCTCCCCGTCCTCTCTCCTCCTTCAGGATCTAACTCGTGTCAGATCCGAGACCCGGTGTCATTTGGATGCCAAATATGCTTCCTACAGGGTGAGGAGCATTTTTTATGAGCAAGGGGATAAGAGTGGAAGCTTACTGGCCCGCTCAGTTCGCCAACAGCGGGTCTCGACTTACGTCCCTAAACTTCACTCCGGCAGAAATGGCGTGGTCCATACTCCGGACCTCATCACCAAAGAATTCGAAACCTTTTTTTCTACCCTTTACCACATCAAATCTGACCCTACGGACATGACCCCTGTGGAGCGAGCTACACAAATGCAGGAATACTTGGCGCGAACTGCGCTTCCCAGGCTTCCAACATCTGCCTTCCAGGAGCTTTCTGCGCCTTTTTCAGACGCAGAACTCCTCCGTATCCTTAAATCACTGCCAACAGGCAAGAGTCCTGGCCCGGATGGCTTCACAGTTCGCTTCTAGAAACGTTTTCAGGATATTTTAACGTCCCCTCTCCTGAACTCCTTTAACGCTCTCTCGGCCACTTGCCACTTTCCCCGCCAATCACTGGAGGCTCATGTAGTGGTTCTACCCAAACCAGGCAAAGATACCATGCACTGTAATAATTTCCGTCCCATTTCCTTGATCAATGTGGATGTTAAGCTGTATGCCAAACTGCTAGAACATCGCTTGACTGACCTGATCCCACGGCTCATTCACAAAGATCAAGTGGGGTTTGTGCCCCGACGTAGTGCCAAGGATAACACCAAACGCACGATCACTCTGATGCATCACGCCCGCTCCCGCGGTCTTCACTTCTGTTTGCTCTCGGTCGATGCTGAAAAGGCGTTCGACCGAGTCAGCTGGTCTTTCCTAGCGGCCTCTTTACTCCACTCGGGTCTCCCCCCCGCATTTGTTGACAGGATTATGGCACTCTATCACCGACCCTTTGCAAGGGTGCGGGTCAATGGTAATCTGTCTGCCCCGTTCCCGATTTATAATGGCACCAGGCAGGGCTGCCCCCTTTCCCCCTTGCTCTATATCTTGGTGATGGAACACTTGGCCAACGCAATTAGGGGCAATGACTCCGTCCGGGGACTTCAGATAGGTGGCCAGGTACATAAACTCGGTCTCTATGCGGACGACTTGCTCCTGTACCTTTCGTACCCTATAGTGGGCGTTCCCTCTCTGATGAAGGAATTCAAGCTTTTTGGTCGCCTGTCTAACTATAGGGTGAACTTTCAGAAATGTGAACTACTGAACGTTTCCCTGCCACGAGCTGAGGCGGATTGTGTGAATGGCTCCTTTCCCTTCACGCTGAAATTGGACTATTTGACTTACTTGGGCGTCCGCATCCCGGCGGACCTAGCGGACCTCTATTCCTTAAATTATGCCCCCTTACTACGTACGGTCGAGGATACTCTTCTAGCTTGGATGAACCATCATCACACTTGGTTCGGTAGAATTGCTCTCTTTAAGATGAAC